TGCCTTGATCCAGGGGCATCAGCCAGGCTGGGGGCAGGGGTTGGGAGATTGGGGTGGGGATTCCGGGGGCTCAGGGGAGGATCCATCCCACCCAGGCGCCCAGGGAGACTCGCGTGCCAGTCACCTGCCGGCCTGGGCTCAGGCTCCCCGCTGATTCGCTGGACGTGGGCGCCCAGGGGCGCGCCTTTGTCTCTCCTTAGTCTTAGAGGCTAACTAGATTGGGGAGGGATGGGGCGAAAAGAGGGGGCCGCTGTTCCCATTCACTGCAGCTCTGTCGCCACTGTGCTGGGCAGCCCCGCGCAGGCTCGGCCCCAAGTCACGTCTATTGAAGCCGTTTCTGCGGCCGGCCGCGCCCCTAATCCCGCCTCAGCAGCCGGTCGCGCCTTTGTACGTGCCGGCGGGGACGCCCTGGATCCCTGAGCCGTCCTGGGGGCGCGGGGGGACGTGAGAAGCATATGGGCTCCACGCAAAGAAGTTATTTCCTGGGCCACAGCGGGAATGGGGGCAAGAAAGATTCAAATTCAGAAAGCGAGAGAGACAGGACAGGAGGAAGCCGAGAGAGTGTAGAGGCAGAGGGGGTCAGGGCGCCGGCAGAGACCGCGGGGAAGGAGAGAGACGCGGGTGGGGCGAGCGCGACCGTGGCGGGGCAAGAGTGTGCAGCTCAGGGAACAGCCGGGAACCCGCGCGGGCGACGCCAGGCCGGAGCGCCGGAGCTGTGCCCAGAGTCGTAGGAGGCGCGGGCAGCACCAGGTGGCGCAGGACCCCACTCCCACCGTGGGGCTGGAGACCGGGGTGGGGGGTCCCGGGCGCTGCGCCTCCACATTCTTCCCTTTTTCTTCCTCCGGCTCATCCCGGCCGATCGATACCTGCGCTGGACCTGCCCCCGCCGCTAATATCTTTTTAATGAGTTCGCCAGGCTTAAAGCGAGCGCGATCTGCCCTCCAGGGTGGATTTTCCCCGGCAGATGTTTCGGGAGGAGGAGGCGCGCGGAGCCCCTGGGAGGGGGACAAATCTCTCTCTCTCTGAGGGGCAAGTGCAGGAGACTTTCTTCTAAAGTTCAAAAGAAAGACAGGCTTTCACTCGGCCCCCAAAAATGTATTTTTCGGCGGACAATGGGCTTCTTTCTGCGCCTCGGAGGGCCGGCAGGGAGGGAGGGGCGGGGTCCCGCGCAGTGCGGCCCCGCCTGACCGACTCTCGCCCCCTGCACCCGGGCCGGGGCTGCCGAGCCAGAGCACCCAAGCTGCAAACGCAGCCTTCCTTCTGAATGCGCTGTCCAGACCTGGCCGTCGGCGAGCTGAGCCTCAGCGCACGGGCAAGAACGAAAGGCCCCTGCCGGATGGGACCCGGGGCCGGGGGAGCCCCGGCCTGCCCCACGCTCCTCGGGTCTGGCGATTGCCTCCTCCAGACTGAAGAGGCGCGCGCTGGTGCCTCCAGGGGAGGGAGGACAGACCTGTGGGCTTGGGCCGTGGCCTCCGTCCTCTAGGAGCTCTGCTCTGCGCAGGGCAACAAGTAGCAATTAGCCGGCCCGGGCGGCGGGGCATCGCGGAGCCTCTCTTCCTGGCCTAGCCATTCCTCCTTGTCGCCCCTGCCTTTCTCCTCCACCCCCGCTTTCAATGTCCCGCTGTCCGTGGGTCCGTCGCCTGTCTCTGTCTCCCTCTTTCCACTCTCGTGGACTCAGAGGGAAGGAGGAACCCGGGCGGAGAGGATGACCTCCGAAGAACCGCGGCCGATTGATTCGTTCCGCCCGGAGCCGGGGCCGCGTGAATGGGGGCCCGGGCGGCGGCGGCGGCGGCGGCGGCGACGGGGATAAAGATGTTCTCCCTGAAAGGGGGAGGGGCGCGGAGCGGGAAGCGGGGCCATTCACTCCTGGCCCGGCCCCTCGGGAAGCCGCGCCGAAGAAAGGGGGACGGGGGCTATTCAAGCCCTACGAGCCGCCCACAATGGACCGATATACTGGGGGCCTCTCTATTAACGCCCATGAATATTAAAGAGATCGCAGAGCAGCGGCCCGCGGGCGTGAGGGGGGTGGTGGCGGCGCCTGCGAGCTCCGGCCCGGCCTAGGGGAGGAGGTTTCGGCTCTGGCACACTCCGCTCCAGGGCCCAGCGGAAAATGACACGGTTCATCCGCAGGGAAACCTAGTACTGCTTCCCTCGAAATCCCCACCCAGGAAGGTGCAAGCGCAGTAATCTTGCTCCCCTATTTCAATGAACGTTGAGACTGCGCGCTACCTATGGGGTCCCCTTTTTCTGGGGCAGGCCCCCTGGTGGGTTTGCCGCTAGGCCAGAAGCACAAAATGCGAGCGCTGGGTGGAGACGCCTGGGGTCTGCGGGCTCACCTGCTGGGAGGCTGCACTGCTCCCTGGGTTTGCGGTCGGAGGAAAAGAATGGGGCTCCCTGGCTGCCGTTTGAGCCCTCAGTCCTTGCACATTTTGACCCAAAGCAGAGGTCCGGGACCTAAATGCTGAGCCCCAGGACGGACGGACACACAGACATGAAGGTTTTTCTCAGTGGGCTGTGGCCCAGGAGTTGGCGAAATCCTCAGGGATTTAGGGGTAAAGTGACCTAACCCAAAGCCACAAAGCAGAAAGCTCAGCTCACACAGTCCAACAGAAACCACTGTACAGGAAAGGACACTGGGACTCAGAGAGGAGCACAGTGGCCCTCATCCCCGTCTCCATTTAGGGTCCTGGAGGCTCTGAGCGAGCTTCAAGGGCTCAGAAGCTGAACGTGAAGCTCCTGGCAGCTCTCCCCACTAAGTCTGCTCTGCCGCCCAGGCACATTCTCTTCTCCATCACAGAAGCCAAGGTCTAAGCCGGTGAGGCTCCCTGTCTGGAGCCCTCAGATTCCATGCGCACCCTGCAACCGGAACCCTCACTGGAGCCTCAGTATGGTGGTGGAAGTTCCGAAACCCTAACCCTCAGCCCAACTCCCTCCTCCACAGCGCTGCCCTCTGCTGGCGCGATGCCCAGCTGTGTACCCTTCCCTAGGCTCCTGTCTCTGAGCGACTGGGGCTGGGACCCAGGCTGCTTTCCTCCCTCTGCATCCCTACCTACACCAAGGGATGCTAGAGACCACTGCGGGGGCCAGAGGTCTGCACCTGCCAAGTATGACGTCCTCTTAGCAAAAGCCTGGGGAGGAGCCTTTAGCCGAAGGGCCTTTGGACAGGTCTGGTTTGTGGGAGGTCTCTACCCTCCCACTCAAGTCTGCTTGCTGTGGAGGAGTTCACACCGTCCAGCGAGATCTTACACTCGAACCCAACCCACACCCAAAGGGTCCAGAAAACCTCCATTAGTGCATCTGAAATTGCAAGAGTGGGGGTGAGAAGTGCAGCAGGTGGGGGAGGTGTCCCATGCCCCCTCACCGGGTGTGTCCAGGGCTGGAGTTGGAAGCTTATGACTAACCCTGGGAGGCGGTAAAGCCTGCTGGAAGCGGTGGTCTTCCCGCCTGGCTCAGCAGCTCCCGATTTCTGCAAAGGGATTGCGCTGGCGCTCAGAGGTGCCGGGGAACTACCACGCAGAAAGACTACTGGTAGGGCGAGGTGGGGGAGAAGGGGAGAGGAACGAAGGGAGAGAAGAAAAGAGGGGTCAGAAGGGAAAAAAGAGAGCTAGTAGGCAAGAAATAAGGAGTGCGGGAGCGCAGCGGCTTGCAGCACAGGAAGAGCCGGGAGGCCCCAGCCGCAAGCCCATCGGCTCTTTGGCCTGTCGCGGCACTGTCTGCAGTTTCCAAGGGAGTTCGCTTGCCCACTCCCAATCAGGCCGGACCGGGGAGCCACTGCGAGCCCCTGGCATCCGCGGGAAAGCCTTTTCCGAGGGACTGGCTTCCAGGCGGATTCAGTTCCGCAGGTTCTGACCCCTGACCTAGCCCCGCTAGAGCCAGGGAGGCTGCCGCCCACCAAGCTGTTTCAGGCCAGGCCCAGCCCCGACGGCAGCACGGCCTCGCCTCGGCAGCCCTCTGCGCTGGGGGACGAATTTCGCAGCCAGCTGCTCACAGCGAGCAGGTTAGCTTGGCCCGTTTGAAGCGAAGCGCTGGCTTCGGCAGTGCCGTCTGCGCAGGAAACCAGCAGGGCCAGAGCTGGAGCTGCGGACTCCGGGGCGACTAGCGCAGCCTGAGGAGTGCAGAGCCAGGGAGGGAAGGCAGCGCCCGCCCGGGCCTGGGAGGGCAGCAAAACGAAGGTGAATGACGGGCCGGGCCCAAGCGGTGAGCGCGGATCAGGCCTGGGACCAGAGGTGAGCGCGGAGCTCGTGGGCCCGAAGCCAGGCGTCCTCTCTTGTCTAGTCCGGTCCCTGGAGTCCCGGCGTGCCTCGCCGCGCCCCCTTCCCCTGCTTCGTCCCCTCTTCTCCTCACAGCCTGCCGAGCCTCCTTCCCTGCCCTGCGCTTCCCACGGGGAGAGAAGGAGAGGAGGGGGAAAGAAGGGCCGGGGAGGGGAGGGAGGAGCGGAGGGGGACTGTTTCCAGTGGTCCGCGCGCCCCCGCCCTTCGCGCTGTCGCTGCGAAGGCTCCTAGAGCACCGTAGGGTACAACAAGTCTGTCCTCCGACGTCAGGGGGTCATTAATAACCAATTAGGAGGGTCACTGCAGCTCCTATAAAGGCGCTGAGATTTTGCCAAGGGGACGACGATCCTGAGCGGGTGTGGAGAGGCGAGCGCGCGTCTGAGAGCCCCTCGCTGCTGTTTCTCTGCAGCCATCCTCCTCCCACCCACCCGCACCCCCTGCACCCGCCTCCGCCTCTGCCCGCGTCTCTCCACCCTCCGCGCCGCCTCTGCCATCTCTGCCGATTTCTCCTTCTCGCTTCCTCGCTCCCACTTCACTTTCCCCCCAGCCACCCCCTCGCCTCCTGCTCCCTCCTGCGGTCTCCTCCTCACCGTCCGCCCCCTGCTCCTCTTCCTTTTTCTCCTCCGCCGCAGCGGTCTCCTGTCGTTCCTCTGCTCCACTCTCGCGCACCCGCCTTCCCCAGTCGGCCCAGCCGTCCGTCCCCCAGCGCCGGCGAGCCCCGGGCCGCCCATGATGGGCTCCGTGCTCCCGGCTGAGGCCCTGGTGCTCAAGACGGGGCTGAAGGCGCCGGGGCTGGCGCTGGCCGAGGTCATCACCTCCGACATCTTGCACAGCTTCTTGTACGGCCGCTGGCGCAACGTGCTGGGCGAGCAGCTCTTCGAGGACAAGAGCCACCACGCCAGCCCCAAGACGGCCTTCACCGCCGAGGTGCTGGCGCAATCCTTTTCTGGCGGTGAGTCCTGCCGTCGGGGCCCAGCCCTTCCCCTCCTCACCGCGACCCCCTGTCACAGCCAGCGACGCACTGGAGGCGGCGGGGGTACCGGGCTTAGCAGATGCCGGCGCCAACCCGGGCGCTCCACACGCTCCATGAGTCTCAGTTTCCCCAGCAGCCAAGCCGAGGTAGGATGCGGGCCCCCACGGCTGGAGGACAAGGTCCTGGCGACCTGGCCGGCGCCCCCGCCATCCCCTGCCTTCTCCTCCCCCCTCGGAGCTGGCGGGTTCTCGGCATTTAAAGCCTTACTAGGCGTGTAATAGCAGTTGACTCAAAAAGAAGGGGTTTTAAATTCATTTAGTTAACTTGGGCTTGACCCGCGAAAGTTCCCACTTAAACCAAGAACTTTAAAAGGCAGCGGGGGCTGGCGGGGGGGGGGGGCGGGCCGGGAGAAAAAGCCGCGGAGAGAGTGAGGGAGAGAAAGAGAGAGCGAGAAAAGTTTCTTTTCTTTAAGATGTCTCAAGTTCTTATTCCTCATTCATCAACCCGCAAACAATATCTTTCCCCGGCGCTGGCATCTCTGCGCGTCGCCCTCTCTTCCCCTTTACGATTTCTGTTCCTCTCTTAATTTACCGTGAAGACTAATTCCACTTCCATTCACGCTATGTCAACCATCTAATCCCCCCTTTTTGTAAGGGGAATTCCTCGGCCCCTTTTAAACAAGTCCCCTCCGCATTGAGCTACAATTTACTGCTACAGCATTCTTCCAGGGCTAATGAATTTAGAATTAGCAATTTCTTTCGAATGGAGCCGAATGAATGCGATCACTTTAACGGCGTGACAAATTGCCGGCCGCGCCGCAATGGACACCGTTTAACCCCCCCTTTCAGCCGGCCGGCTCGCCGGCTATTTTCCCAGGTAGCTTAGAGGGGAACCTTGTAAGACAAGGAGGCCGCCCCTGTGCGACTCACCGCTCCCACCCAGCTGCAGAGGCTGGCAAGTGGACCCTCGCGGAGCTGAGGGCCGGCGTTCTTCCCAGCGGAGAGGCGACTCAGGGATTGTGCGAGCCCGAGCGCCACCCTCGCTGGCACCCCAGAGCCTGCAAGCAGAGAGGGACCCGGCCGCCGCTGCTCGCGTTTCTCTAGCACCTCCGCGGCCTCACAAGCGCCCCGTGCCGCTCGCACAGTGGCCTACGAGCGACCAGCTGAAGCGCCCAGAACAACACTGTGCGAAAGAATCCCGATTTAACTTGGCCTCAGTTTCCCCATCCGTAGAATCACAGGCTGCATGTGGCTCACTTACTAGTTCTTAAACTTTTCCGGCATGGAGGGCGAAAGAGAATTTGTGCAGAGACTAAAAACCTCCTGCTGGCTGAGGCACCATGGCTCACGCCTTTAAGTAGTCTCAACACTCTGGGAAGTTGAGGCAGGCGGATTGCTTGAGCTCATGGGTTCGGTTCAAGACCAACCTGAGCAAAAGCAAAACTCAGTCTCTACTAAAAATAGAAAAACCGAGCAAGAGGATCGCTTGAGTCCAAGAGTTGGAGGTTGCTGTGAGCTATGATGCCACCGCATTCTACCCAGGGGCAACAGCTTGAGACTCTGTCTTAAAAAATAAAATGAAACAAAATAAAAACCTCCTCCTAAAGATGAGCTCCAAAGCACCACTCCTTTCCAGGGCACAGAGGGTCCCTGATTGCATATAGAGGAGACAATGAGCCTTCGCATTCCAGGCACCCCCGCCTGTCCACACACACACCTGATGACTTCTCCAAGGACTGCTGCTTAGTTCAGCCTGCTAGGCAGACGGGAGCCAGGGTCCCTGGCAAAGGAAGGGCTGGGCCTCCCCTATCTCAGACTCTGACCTGTTTATCTGTCCCCTGGCTGCAGAGGTGCAGAAGCTGTCCAGCCTGGTGCTGCCGGCGGAGGTGATCATCGCTCAGAGTTCCATCCCCGGAGAGGGACTGGGCATCTTCTCTAAGACGTGGATTAAGGCGGGCACTGAGATGGGCCCCTTCACCGGCCGGGTAATCGCCCCGGAGCACGTGGACATCTGCAAGAACAACAATCTCATGTGGGAGGTAGCCGGGGCTGGGGATGAGGGGCGCGGGTGGGATCCTGGCATCTGGCATCATCGGTGGCAGCTGCAGCTTCTCTCCTGGCTGGAAGCAGCAGACTTTGGGGCCAGAGGCCCACCCCCCAGGCCAGACTCTAAGCTGCCCCATCTCTGAAGCTTACCCTGCCTGGAGACTTGTCCCCAAGCAGGGCAGGGAAAGCCAGGCTGAGAAAAATCTGAGTCTCCCTCCTCCAGGCCGCAGCAGGGTTCTTGTTGCACTTCACAGATGAGAGCACTGAGACCCAGAGCAGCCGTGTCACTTGCCTAGAGTCTCCATTGGAGCTGGCAATCCATCCCTGGGAGCATTCTTTCCCTGGCCTTGGAAGCAACAAGGGAAACCTCCCCCCTGGGTCAGCCCTGGCCAGAGGGTGAGGTGTGGCTAGAATGGAGAATGGTGAAGGTCTGTGTGCTTCTCCGGGACTGGCTTCTCACCCCTGGCAGAGTGACATTCAATGTAATCATCCTGCAATTGGTATTGAGTCAGCTCCCTGAGCCCTCAGCCTGCAATCCATGCATTAGCTCAGCAGCCCTCAGAGTTATGTTCCCCTTTTATAGAAGGAAACCGAAGCCCAGAGGCTTTCATCCCAGACCTTCTGACCCCCACCATACCCAGGGAGGGCTGCCCTGAGGACACAGCCACTCCTGCAGAGCTTCCTCTTCCTGGGGGCTCTCACCTCACAGGATGGGAAACTCATTGAGGCCAGGATGGTGCACCCCTTTTCATCCTAATCTCATTCCCTCCCCTGCTCCCCCATCCCCCCTCACAGACCCTGGAGGGGCAGATGTAACAAATTCTGCTGCTGATCACAGGAATAGGAGGCAAGGAACTGGGATGGCCCAGGGGCCTCTGCTCACCTCATCTTCTCTCTACTCTGGGGGCCTCAGCCAGGGGGTACTGTCTCCAGTTGCTGCTGGGTCAGGACGATGGTCAGGAAGTTTGACCTCTGAGTGCCCTTGATAGCTCCCACAAAGGGAGGTAGGCCAGGCTCCAGTGCCATGGTGAGGGTGAGTCAGCCTTCCCTCCCCATGCTCCTGTGCTTCCCTCTGAGTTCCCTGCCAACACTCCTCACTGCCCCGGGAGCATCTCTGCATCCTCCGAAAGAGCTAGCTGGAGGCCACTTTGTCTGGTTATTGACCCTAGGAGACACTTCTTGGGGAAGGGGAGGACATGGCAGCAAGAGCATGTCATGGGCAGCCCATGGGGCCCTGGAGACTGACTCCCTGTTGTCTAGCCAAGTCTCTGAGCCTCCCTTTCCTCAGCTGGAAAATGAGGCTGGTAATAGCTTTATCCACTCCCTGGGACTGTTGGGAGGGTGGAAACACTGTGTGGAGGTGCCCAGCAGACTGGATTCGTGACACTGCCCTGCTTCACCTGGCCTTTGCGCCATCTGCACCCAGGTGTTCAATGAAGACGGCACAGTGCGCTACTTCATCGATGCCAGCCAAGAGGACCACCGAAGCTGGATGACCTACATCAAGTGTGCACGCAATGAACAGGAGCAGAACCTGGAGGTGGTCCAGATTGGCACCAGCATCTTCTACAAGGCCATCGAGGTGTGTTTTGGTGTGTGTGTGTGCTGTTGTGTAGAGACCAGCGGGGCACCTAGGGGTGAGAGGTGTGCAGGGCAGGACAATTGTGCCCAGGGACCACAGTGGACACAGGGAATCAACACTGGCACGGCTGGCCCTGGGCAGAAGCACGCCTTCCCAGGCAGCTTTCTGCTACAGTCAGGAGGAACAGGGCTTTAAACTGTGTGCATCTCACTGGTGAGGTCCTTAGACATAGAGATACAAACAGCACAGTGTGGAGAGGAGGTGTGTGTCTGCAGTGGCTCAGCTGCCCCTCAGCTGCCCCTCTGCATGTTTGGTTCCTGTGACTTGGGATCATGACTCTGGTCTCAGCAACAGCTCCCCTTGTGCTGTTTCTCCCTGACGCAGTATCCTCTTTAATCCTCACAAGACCCCAGGAAGAGGATTCTGTGATTATTTCCAGTTGACAGGGAAGAAAATGGGGTCTCCCTTGGGGACAGGCAGGCTCAGGAACTTGGGCAGGGCACTTGGGGGTGGCAGACAGGTAAATATCTCTTCCGGGTGTGTGGAGGTGTGTCACAGAGCTGGGGCTTCTGAAGCAGGGTCTCAGGAAGGAAGGCAGAGGAAGTGCTCCTGGTAGAGAAGTACTTGGCAGGAACAGAAGCTCCAGGTATCTGGGCAGGGACAGTGGTACAAAGCAAGCTGAGCAGAAATCTGGCCCAAGAGTGGGGGAACCTGCTCTGAACCCCTTTGGGTAGGCTGGGGAAAAGTGTGCGCAAAGGGAAGGGAAGTTGTTCCCAGTCTTCTCTGCTCCCATGTTGGGGGAAGCACAGGCAACATGCATGTGGGGCTGAGGCTTGGCTGAATTTTTTTTTTTTTGAGACAGTCTCACTTTGTCGCCCCTTGATAGAGTGCCGTGGTATCAGAGCTCACAGCAACCGCGAACTCTTAGGCTTAAGCAATTCTCTTGCCTCAGCCTCCCAAGTAGCTGGGATTACAGGCACCCACAACAATACCCAGCTATTTTTTGGTTGCAGTTGTCGTTGTTGTTTAGCTGGCTGGGGCTAGGTTCAAACCCGCCAGCCTGGGTGGCACCTGTGGCTCAGTGAGTAGGGCGCCAGTCCCATATATTGAGGGTGGTGGGTTTGAAACCTGGCCCCGGCCAAACTGCAACAAAAAATAGCCGGACACTGTGGCGGGCCCCTGTAGTTCCAGGTACTTGGGAGACTGATGGAAGACCAAGAGCTGGTGATTGCTGTGAGCTGTGACGCCACAGTACTCTACTGAGGGTGACAAAGTGAGACTCTGTCTCTAAAAAATAATAGTAATAATAATAAATTAAATAAAATAAAAACCAACCCACCAGCCAGGGTGTATGTGGCCAGTGCCCTAACCACTGAGCTATGGGCGCTGCCCTTGGCTGAAATTTTTTTTTTTTTTTTTGAGACAGACTCTCACCCTGTCACCCTCAGTAGAGTGCCGTGGCTTACAGCTCACAGCAACCTTCAGCTCTTGGGCTTAGGTGATTCTCTTACCTCAGCCTCACGAGTAGCTGGGACCATAGGCACCCACCATAACACCCGACTATTTTTTTGTTGCAGTTTGGCCATACATACCCACCACCCTGGGTATATGGGGCTGGCGCCCTACTCACTGAGCCACAGGCACTGCCCACCTTGTCTGAACTTTTTAAGCTGGTGTGGAGGAGCCCCTCAGGGACAGACAGCCACTGGCCTGTAGTCCACCCTCTGTTTTCTCCCCAGGGCTCAGAGCCTCAAGGCCTTTCTAAGACCTCCAGGGGTGCAGGGCCTAGTTGCTTCTGGGACTGAGTTGTTTGTCCCAGGTCCCAGGGAATCTCCCAGGGCTGACGGCAGGAGGCCTTGCCTGGGTCCCAGGTGATGGAGGGGAAAGGAAAAGTGAGCAGTTTGTAGACTAGGGCTCATGAGAGAAGAGACAGCTGTGGGGCCGGAAGAGGTCCTGAAGGCCACTCAGGCCCAGGACAGAGGTGGCTCCTGTGACCTTCTGGCTGAAACACCCTACCCTAGAATCAGCTTCTGATGCAGCCCAATCCCACTTCTAGCAGAGAGCACCCTGTAGGACCCTCCCTGGAACCCTTGCACACATATCCTTACATTCATACGCTCCTCCCCAGCCATCTTGAGAAAGATGTGATAGAAGACTCCCACTCATCTCGTCCCTCCCGTGCACACAAGAGGACAGAGGAGTCAGAGCAGGAGTGATGACATGATGTGGGGGCCTGAGTTTCATCTTGCTGTGCAGGAACCCTGGGTGAAAGCCAGATAAAATCAGGAAACATTAATAGATGCTTATACAGAAATTTAAAGTTGGAGGGCAGGTGGCAGGACAGTCTCTCCAGGGAGAGATCTGAGTTTATATGGTTAAAGTAAAAGGGTCACATACATTTGATAAGCGTTGATAAAAGAGGACCAGGAGATGTGTGGCCCTGTGTGTGTATACAAAGTGTACCCCCAAAATGAATACATGTTTTTGTTGTTGTTTTTTGGCAGTTTTGGCTGGGGCTGGGCTTGAACCTGCCACCTACAGTATATGGGGCTGGTGCCCTACTCCTTGAACCACAGGAGCAACCCATGAATACTTGTTTTAAGAAAGAAAAAAACTGGCTCGGCGCCTGTGGCTCAAGTGGCTAAGGTGCCAGCCACATACACCTGAGCTGGCGAGTTCCAATCTAGTCCGGGCCCGCCAAACAACAATGATGGTTGCAACCAAAAAATAGCCAGGCTTTGTGGTGGGCGCTTGTGGTCCCAGCTACTTGGGAGGCAGAGGCAGGAGACTCACTTAAGCCCAGGAGTTGGAGGTTGCTGTGAGCTGTGATGCCATAGCACTCTACCCAGGGCAACAGCTTGAGGCTCTGTCTCAAAAAAAAGAAAAAGAAAGAAAGAAGAAAAAAATTATATTAAAGTTGTATTCGTCAATATATACCAATAACAAAAGAATACAAATCACAGTAAGCTCCTCTTGTAATTGCAGAAATCAAATGTGGCTTGAGTATTACAATTTTAATACATTTTTTTCTTTCTTAAAATGCATGTACCTTTTTTTTGCACCCTTATTATATACACACACATTACAGATATGAGATAGACAGGTAGATAGATCTACCCATGTGGCTATTAACGCTTTCACAGAGTTAGCAAGCCTGCTAAGGGACTATTTGAGTGAGTGACAAACGCAAAGTACCACCCATTTTACTTTAAATAAGTAAGGCTGGACTCATTTTTTTTATGATGGCAATTTTCTCAAATCTTTTTATCACAATATCAGATTCCACCTGCTGGATAGGCCATGAGTCTGGGCATATGTGGCCATCCACTCACAAGGCCGAGGCTCGGAGCCCAAGCAGCCCTTCTGGGCTAAACCAGAGGCTATTGTTGCCCAGCCCCCAGGCCACTCCCCGGATGTCTCTGGAATAAATCAGCTGTTTGTTCTGTGCATGTGTGTGAGTTAGCCAAGGAGAGGGACCTTTGCTGTGATCTGTTTTCTTAATCTTCCTGCAACTCAGAACTGCTATTTATATTTTATAACAGTAACTCATTACTTGCCAAAAAATTGGAAGAAACATCTTTATTCAATAAACAGAGTACACTGTAGTTGCTCTAAAATTTTCCGCAAATACAAAAAACAAACAAACAAAAAAAATAGCTCTCTCAACAGAGAGAAAAGCTGTGGGTCTCAGAGCCTGCGGGTCAGTGCAGAAGCCCTGGGCAGGGCTGGATCTGGCTAGATGACTGACATGTTATTCTGGGGGCAGCCTTCCAGTTACTCTGCCACCAAATTTACCACAACCTCAGGTGCCTAAAATGACATTTCTACAAAGTGCCTACACATAGCAAGTAAGCATTAGTGTTAAACGAATAAAAAGGATCTTTTCATTTTATTTATTTTTTTGAGATGGCATCTTACTTTGTTGCCCTTGGTAGAGTGCCGTGATGTCATAGCTCACAGCAACCTCAAATTCTTGGGCTTAAGTGATTCTCTTGTCTCAGCCTCCCGAGTAGTTGGGACTACAGGTGCCCACCACAGCACCCAGCAATTTTTAGAGATGGGGCGGGGTCTCTCTTGCTCAGGCTGGTTTTGGTTTCGAACTCCTGAGGTCAAGCAGTCCGCCTGCCTCAGCCTCCCAGAGTGGAAAGGGTCTTTTTAAAGGGTCTTAGCAGCTTAAAAAAATAGAATGTGCTCAGCCCTGTGAGGTGCCTTCCTTCTGTTATCATCCTCATTTTAATGAGGACGAGATGATTTCAAAGACATGATGGAGATGTGTGAGCTGTGATTTGAACCCGGGCCTATCTGATCCCAGGGCTGGAGTGTTTGATCACCACGCCACGTGGCCTCCCTGGCCAATATCTATTTGCCGGAAACTCTATTAATTGGCATGTCGGAACATCTGTGGTACAAAGGAAATTGATGTTTGTCCAGATGACACTGAGATCCTTCTATACTTGGGCATCAGCACAAGAGGGAAGGGGAGGGCATGGAGCCTCCCAGGAGCATGTTCAATGGTGGAACATGAATTTATATTAGGAAAACAACCCCCAAACCTCATTATTTCCAATGGTACAAATTCAGCAAGTCGGGCAGGACACCTCTGGGCTGATGGGGAAGGTGAAGGAGCACCGTTGAGAGAACATGTGATCTGTCAGCAAGACCCAGGCTTTGGTGATTTGGATTTTATGGTGCTGGGACTCTGTTCCTTTAGTGCTTTACTTGTTGTGTGTCCCAAGCCCATTCTTCTCTCCAGCAAAATGAATGACTGGCTGACTCTGGTTCTTCCTCCCTAGCGGAGCCAGGCCAGAGCACAAGGGTGGCACTACAAAGCTCCTCAGAGGCCGATGGCCATTTCTTACACCTCAGCAGGCCAGCTGTGCAGCCCTGGGCCCCTCTGGATGGTACTTGCAGTAGCTCAGGGAAGAAGCTGCAGGACCCCGGGTCTCTCGTGCTGGATACAGGAGTCCATTGGATGAGCAGGCAGAGACCAGCTGCGGAGCTGAGATTACCAGTCCCCAGCTCTGGGCAGCTGAGGCTGCTTCCTCTGCGCTGGTGGTTTCTGGCTGTGTGGGAGTGTGTGATTCTCAATTCCAGAAGGTTCTTCTTAATGGATTTTTTTTCTTAAAGATTTTGTTTCATTTTGTGTATAGAAGTGATATGTGCTCATTCTTTCTTTCTTTCTTTTTTGAGACAGAGTCTCACTCAGTATGCTATGGTGTCATAGCCAGCAACCTCAAACTCAAGCAATTCTCTTGCCTCAGCCTCCCAAGTAGCTTGGACTACAGGCACCCACCACAACACCCAGTTATTTATTTTTTTTTAGGAGATGGTGCCTTGCTCTTGTTCAGGCTGGTCTCAAACTCCTGAGCTCAAGCAGTCCACCTGCCTAGGCCTCCCAGAGTGTTAGGATTACAGACATGAGCCACTGCACCCAGCCTCATTATTTTTTAAAAAATCAAAACCATCATGTAGACCCTATTATGTTGCTCTGCATAAGCCTTAAATCAGCAGTTTTTACTAATTTCAAAATGACAAACCCTTCTAGGGAAAGACCTCCAGAAAACCAGGGACGGTAGCTAGTACCCAGAGTGGTAGAGAGTCATTCTCGTTATATACCCTCCCAGTGGTTCTGACATGTTTGCCTCTGTGGCTGCATTGCTGTTTTAGTTTTTTAATTATTAGTAAAACTGATTTTAGTACATTTAGAAAAAGTATATAAATGACTCATACTGAAGCTATTACCGTTAAAGCTCTTATTAAAAAAAATTGCAATTAATCATTCTGAATCGGCTCGGCGCCTGTGGCTCAAGCGGCTAAGGCGCCAGCCACATACACCTAAGGTGGCGGGTTCGTATCCCCAGCCTGGGCCCTCCAAACAACAATGACGGCTGCAACCAAAAAATAGCCGGGCGTTGTGGCGGGCACCTGTAGTCCCAGCTACTTGGGAGGCTGAGGCAGGAGACTCGCTTGAGCCCAGGAGTTGGAGGTTGCTGTGAGCGTGATGCCATGGCACTCTACCCAAGGGGATAGCTTGAGGCTCCGTCTCAAAAAAAAAAAAAATCATTCTGAATCATAATATTCAAGATTTGTATAATCTAAAATGTTCTGGCTCCAATCTTCATTCATGATCACCATTATTATTGTTGATACTGTTATCGTACTTATTTTATATTTATTGATAGTTGTTATTTACAATTTAAATTAAAAAGCTGTTAAATTAAAAAGGTGTTGACTTAGTATTAGATTCCCAGACCTCAAGTCTGGAGGTTAAGATGAAGCTCAGGGCAAGGTCAGGTGGGGGCCTGCAGAATCTCTCACCGCCACTGTGCTGGATGAGTGGGCTCCTCTCTCGAGGGAGATAGAGTTAGGAAGTAGTGGCAGTGCCCTGGGGCTGGTGTCCTTGGGGCATTCTGGCCCTGCCTATACTCTTTTTTTTTTTTTTTTTGAGACAGAGTTTTACTATGTCGCCCGCGGTAGAGTGTTGTGGCATCACAGCTCACAAGCAACCTCAAACTCTAGGGCTTAAGCGATTCTCATGCCTCAGCCTCCCAAGTAGCTGGGACAATAGGTGCCCACCACAATACCTGGCTATTATTTTGTTGTTGCATTTTGTCATTGTTGTTTAGTTGGCCCAGGCTGGGTTCAAACTGGCAGCCTGGGTGTATGTGGCTGGCTCACTACCCACTGAGCTACAGGCACCTCCCCAGCCTATACTCTTGCTGAACACTAAAGGTCACCCTGGGCTTTAGCAGTGGCCACAACCCTCTGCCACACTCAGGCTCACTGGGCACTCTGCAGGCACTTGATGTACTAGAGATTGCTGCCAGCTTCTCTGAGAGGTTGGCGAGCTCAGGTGGCGGGATAATAATCACCACTTCCACATCTCCATTATGTAACAGCTTTATGCATGTAGCCCTGCTGAACCTTGACTATCGCTCAGTGAGGCCAGAACTGAGGCTCATGACATGAGGCAACTTGTCCGAAGTCATTCGCTCAGCAGGTGGGCCCAGGTGGATTCCCAATGTGTCTGACTCCAGTACGGACTCCTGAAGGGACATATTCAGATGGTAGGGTGGAGGCTGATTGATGACGTCTGCTTCCATTTGAGGCTTGCAGGCAGGGTCAGAGCAGTGCTGGAGGTGGCTTCCAATCAGAGTCTTAGAGTTGAGGGAATTCCGGGATCACGTTCTGCGTCCCGTCATTTAAGGACACAAGCATAGAGAGGCAAAGTGACTTTTCTGAGGTTACGCAGGGACCCGGTGACCAAGGGCCCAGCTACACCATCTTGTAGAGTAGCTTCCTTCACAATTAATTTATCAAAAATACAGTGGGGATCAAAAAAGGAAAACACATTTGACAAAAGGAAAACCCTGTATTAAATTTGTAATTCCCAAGTCATGTTTGACTTCTGCAAGTATAAGAGGTGCTCGATGTGACTTGTATTCATCTTTTCTTATCAGTATATAGTATTGCCATTTTCATACAGTTTTTTCTGTCTTAAAATATGTGTACTTTTTTTGCACACTCTAGTTTAGTTTCATCATCTGCTTTTCTGAGGGGCTCACAAAGCCTCTTTCTTCTGTGTCCCTTTTTCAGAGAGGGCCTCCACCTCTGACCTGCTGGCCTCCTGGACAGCGGCCATGACTGTGCACGATCCCAGGGAGGCCACAGACGTTCACTGTGGTGCCTGGTTCTAATATGCACACTTTCTCTGATGCACCACTCAATTTTCTGGGGCTCAGGAACTGGGCTTGGCTTTTCCATGTTCATACCCCATGAATCCAGGTTGGTGTGGCACTCTCTGCTGGCTTCTTGTCATTTGCTGGCTCTGAGGCTCACTGGGATGCCCATGGGCCGTGGGGTCTGCTGGGAAGGGGTATGGTAACTCTCGGAGGGTGGCAGTCCCCTAGGTGTTCTGACATCTTCTTGTCCCCACTCCTCTCTCAACTTCCCCCTGTCTTCAGGGTCGAGCAGAGTTTTCTGCAGTGATCAGAGGGTCTTACCAGCTCTGGGAAGAGGAAAGAAGTGTGGTAGACGCAGGGCTTCTGAGTGTGGCAAGGCTCTGCCAGCCAGAACCAAATGGAGACCATGGGGAAGTCCTCCTGTGAGGTGGCTTCAGACCCCCCTAGATGGAATCTCATGTCCGAAGAACCGGAGAGTGACTCCCAGGGGCAGGTGCCAAAGCCAGCACATCCTGGGTCCAGGCCTCGGCCACAGGCTGTCCCTCTCTCGTTCCCCTACCTAGGTAGGGCCTGCAGGCTCACCACTTGGGAGGGGTAACTGGCTTTCCCTAAAGCGCTGGAGCGCCCCTCAGGCTATCCTGGGGTGTGTGTGGTTTATGTTCAGTCAGTGCCACACCAGGAGCAGGCCTCCCACACCTCCCAGATGGTCACTGACAAAGCATCTGATCCGTTTCCCTGGGGCAGGTCCCCCCTCCCCTGAGGGTAAAGAACCCTGCCATCATTTGTGGGGTTTTCTGTCACAGACCTAGGACGTGGTGAAGTGTATTTTTGTTCATCAATCCGAATGTTTCTTTTTAGCATCTAGCATGTGCATGGCGTCATGTAGAGCCCTATGCTGGGTAGGGAAGTACGTGCAGTGTGGTGCTGCCTGTGGTGCTTTGGATAAGAGTTGTTTCCAGAACATTATCCAGCAGGGTGTAACCAGGTACGTAGGATGCCCTACAGCCTACACTCCTCAGAAACACCTGGTTCAGCCCTGAGCCCTGAGGCCCGGCTGACTCTGGCTCCCCTGGGTAAGAAGTGAAAAGTTTTCTAGCTTTCTACACTGTCACTTCTGCTTGCTGTAAGGCTTCTGTGCAGTTGCTGTCAGCTTGAAGGCTCTCACGTGGCCAGAGCTTGGACAGAGAAGGCGAGAAGGCCTGGACAGGACCAGGGGAGCAGAGAGCACCACACCCCAGGGCCGTCTGTCTGTGCAGCTTGCCTGGTCAGCTTGGTGGAAATGGACCTGAGTGTGGCTTTCTTGGGGCTGAGATTGGATCCATGTCTACCGGCCGGCCGTGATGGGATCTGCAGAGACCTCTGACTTGCCCCCCGCGGCTGCCTCCCTGACCTCCTCTTGCCTCTTCCCTGCAGATGATCCCTCCTGACCAGGAGCTGCTGGTGTGGTACGGGAATTCGCACAATACCTTCCTGGGGATCCCTGGTGTGCCGGGGCTAGAGGAGGAGCAGAAAAAGAACAAGCATGGTAGGTGGTCCCCGTGGGCCACAGGGACAAAGACCCACAGAGGAGGGAGCCCAGGAAGGGGAGAGAGAATAGGGGCAATGGGGAGGCTCCTAGCCTCGGGGAACCCTGGTTTAAGCTCTGGCAGCATCAAGCTCATGGGACCTACTATTCCAAGGAGGCCAATGCCCCTGGAACCACCACCATGCACTGAGCATGGGTGGAACACAGTTCTCCTGCTGTCTGGGCCCAATAGGCTGTTTTGTGTGGAGACCCCAGAGAAGCAACAGGCTGTATTGGGAACTAGACAGCAGGAGCCTGGACTGAGCTCTAGTTCTGCTGTGCAATCTTGGGAATGGCTCTGTGCTTGAGTTTCCTCATCTGTAAAGGCAAAGCGTCAGGCGAGATGACCCTAAGTTCCCCGTACATTTCCTCACCCTGCCTGCCCCAGGGCCTGGCCCAGAGTAGATGCTCAGCATAAATCTGTTACGTGAAGGCAGGACAGAACATGCCTGTGTGTTGGAGTGACGATGCCTGTCACCATAGAGACCATTTGCTTTAGACCTATTTCATGCCAAGAACTGGGCTAAACCTTTACCAGGTATCATAGACCACTGTGTCCTCACAGAAACCCCTGTGAAATCTGATTATTAATTTTAGCCGGCAAACCTGAGGCTCATGAACAACTTTCTTTCCTTTTTTTTTTTTTTTTTTTTTTTTTTGAGACAGAGTCTCCCTATGTAGCCCTGGGTAGAGTGCAGGGGCGTCACAGCTCACAGCAAACTCCAACTCTTGGGCTTAAGAGATTCTCTTGCCTCAGCCTCGCAAGTAGGTGGGACTATAGGCGCCCGCCATAACGCCCGGCTATTTTTGTTGTTGTTGTTGCTGTTGTCATTGTTGTTTAGCAAGCCCCGGCCGAACCCGCCAGCCATTAATTTCTCTGTTTTAAAACAGAAATATGAGGATGATGCTATTCTCACCTCCATTTGAGAAATGATAAAGCTGAGGTGCAAGTCCTCGGCACAGAGTAGGCACTCAGTAAACACCTGCGGTATGAAAAACTGAAAGGGTTATCCTAGTAGCAGCCTGGGCCCTCCATGGAAGGCCTACTGTGAGCCGGGCGCCGCTCCCACACCGGCCCTGTGTGGAAGGTGACGTGTAAACCTTCAGAGGACCACAGACTGCTCACCTCGGGTGATCGTGCATAGACAGCCCCGTGAGGCAGTACTAGGTTCATTTTACAGATGAGAAAGCTGAGTTAATCACGCAGATCGCTAAGTGTGCCCAAAGTCTCACGCTCCTACGGGACCGACCAGGGTCCTCGCGGCCCCTCCCATCCAGTCTTTGTGGCCTGGCCCTCAGCCGCTCCACTCTAGGGCCACCCAGCAATCGGCGGCGGCCCGCCCTGGGAGGGGCACGTGGGCGGCGCGGGTGCCCGGCCGCGGGGCGCGGGTTCTAACGGGGCTGCCCTCTCTCCCCTTCTTGCCCGCCCTCGGCCTGCCCCGGGCGCCCGCGCGCCCAGAGGACTTCCACCCCGCGGACTCGGCGGCAGGCACCGCGGGCCGCATGCGCTGCGTCATCTGTCACCGCGGCTTCAACTCGCGCAGCAATCTGCGCTCGCACATGCGCATCCACACGCTGGACAAGCCCTTCGTGTGCCGCTTCTGCAACCGCCGCTTCAGCCAGTCGTCCACGCTGCGCAACCACGTGCGTCTGCACACGGGCGAGCGCCCCTACAAGTGCCAAGTGTGCCAGAGCGCCTACTCGCAGCTGGCCGGCCTGCGCGCCCACCAGAAGAGCGCGCGCCACCGGCCGCCCAGCGCCGCGCTGCAGGCGCAC